TCTGGGGATTTTGGGGTCCTGGGGGTCCTGGGGGTCCTGGGGTGTTTAGGGGTCCTCGTGGTGCTGGGGGTTATTGGGGTGGGGGCCCTATGGGGGTTCTGGGGATTTTGGGGGTCCTGGGGATTCTGGGGGCATCCTGGGGTGTGGGAGGGTCCTCGTGGTGCTGAGGGGGTTATTGGGGTGGGGGGCTCCTAGGGGGGTCTCTGTGGGGGGTCCCGTGGATGGAGGGGGTCCTGGGGGTTATTGGGCTGGGGGTCTATGGGAGGGTCCTGGGGGCTTCTCTGGGGTCTCGTGGGTGTTTGGGGGTCCTGGGGTCTCTGGGGGTCCCGTGGGTGGAGGGTGGTCCTGGGGGCATGGGGGCCCTATGGGGGGTTCTGGGGGTATTTTTGGGGGTCCTGGGGATCCCTCTGGGGTCCGTGGGTGCTTAGGGGTCCCTCGTGGTGCTAGGGGTTATTGGGTGGGGGCTCCAAGGGGGGTTCTGGGGGATTTTGGGGGTCCTGGGGGTCCTGGGGTCCCTCGTGGTGCTGAGGGGGTTATTGGGGTGGGGGAGCTCCTATGGGGGTCTCTGTGGGGGTCCCGTAGTTGGAGGGGGGTCCTGGGGGTTATTGGGGTGGGGGCTCTATGGGGGATTTTGGGGGGTCCTGGGGCTTCTAGGGGTCTCATGGATGGGGAGGGGGTCCTGGGGGCTCTCTGGGGGTCCCGTGGGTGGGGGGTCCTGGAGGGTTATTGGGGTGGGGGCTCCCATGGGGAGTCCTGGGGCTTCTATGGGGGTCCCATTTCCCCCCGTGCCCCCAATTCTTGGTGTCCACTCCCAACTTTACTGGGTCCTCCCAGTGACTCCCCCTCAATTTTTTGAGAGTCCTCTCCGATTTTTGGGGCCCCCCAGTGACCCCTCCCGATTTTGGTGCCCCCCAGATGCCCCCTTAAACCCCCACTGTGTCCTTTTAACTCCCTCCAAATTTGGGGGTCCCATTGCCCTCTCTGTGACTCCCTCACTTTTTGGGGTCCCCCTCGATTTTTGGGACCCCCAGTGACTTCCCCGATTTGGGGCCCCCCCAGATGCCGCTCACCCACAGTGTATCCCTTTGACTCCCTAAATTTGGGGTCCTGCATTCCCCCTGCACCCTCAATTCTTGGGATCCCCACTTTGGGGTCCCAATTTTTAGGGTCCCCCACTTTTGGGGCCCCAGTGACCCCCGATTTTGGGGCCCCCAGATGCCGCTGGCCCGCAGTGTGTCCTTCTGACTCCCCCAAATTTGGGGTCCCATTGCCCCTCTGTGACTTCTCCAATTTTTGGGGTCCCTCAATTCTTGGGTCCCCTGATTTTTGGGGTCCCCTCTAGTGACCTCTCATTTTGGGGCCCCCCAGATGCCCCAGCCCCCATTGGAGTCCCTGAGTTCCCTGACTTCTAATTTTTGGGTCCCATTGCCCCCTGCACTCCCTAAATTTTTGGGGTTCCTCGATTTTTAGCCCCCAGTGACCTCTCTGATTTTGGGGCCCCCCAGATGCCCCAGCCCCCATTGAGTCCATGAGTTCCTCTGACTTCCCAAATTTGGGGTCCCATACTCTCTTGTGACTTCTCACTTTTGCCCCTCACTTTGGGGTCCTCACGAAGGTCTCCTGATTTTTGGGCCCCCACCCCCAATTTTGGGACCCCCAGATGCCGCTGGCCCGCAGTGTGTCCCTCTGACCCCCCAAATTTGGGGGTCCCATTGCCCTCCCTGTGACTCCCCTCAATTTTGGGGTCCCCCTCGATTTTAGGGTCCCCCTCCCAGTGAGCCCCCGATTTTGGGGCCCCCAGATGCCGCTGACCCACAGTGTATCCCTCTGACTCCCCAAATTTGGGGTCCCATTGCCCCTGTGACTCCCTCATGATCCCCTCAATTTTTGGGGTCCTCTGATTTTAGGGTCCCCCGATTTTGGACTCCAGTGACCCCCCGATTTTGGGGCCCCCAGATGTTCCCTGGCCCCAGTTGAGTCCCTCTGACTCCTCCAAATTTGGGGTCCCATTGCCCCCCTGTGACTCCCCCTCAACTCTTTTGGGGTCCCCCTCAATTTTGGGTCCCCCTGATTTTGGGGTCCCCCAGTGACCCCCTATTTTGGGGCCCCCAGATGCCCCAGCCCCCATTGAGTCCCTGAGTTCCCTCTGACTCCCCTAATATTTGGGGTCCCATTGCCCCCGTGACTCCCCTCGAATTTTTGGGGTTCCCCTCGATTTTTGGGGTCCCCCAGTTTAGGACCCCAGTACCCCGATTTTGGGCCCCCAGATACCCTAGCCCCCATTGAGTCCATGAGTTCCCTCTGACTCCCCAAATTTGGGGGTCCCATTGCCTCCCTGTGACTCCCCTCAATTTTTGGGGTTCCTCTCAATTTTTGGGGTCCCCCTCAATTTTTGGGGTCTCCCCGATTTTGGGGCCCCCAGTGACCCCCTATTTTGGGGCCCCCAGATGCCGCTGGCCCGCAGTGTGTCCTTCTGACCCCCAAATTTGGGGTCCCATTACCCCCTCTGTGACTCCCTCAATTTTGGGGTCCCCTCAATTTTTGGGGTCCACCTCAATTTTGGGGTCCCCCGATTTTAGGGCCCCCAGTGACCCCCTATTTTGGGGCCCCCAGATGCCGCTGGCCACGCAGTGTGTCCCTCTGACCCCCCAAATTTGGGGGTCCCATTGCCCTCCCCGTGACTCCCCTCAATTTTGGGGTCCCCATCAATTTTTGGGGTCCCCTCAATTTTTAGGGTCCCCCGATTTTGGGGCCCCCAGTGACCCCCATTTTGGGCCCCCAGATGCCGCTGGCCCGCAGTGTGTCCGTGAGTTCCCTGCCGGGCTTGGAGGACTGGGGGTCCCGAGCCCTCGACAACGCCGTGCTCTTCGAGTGGCCTGGGAGGTGGCCACAAAGGTGAGACCTCCCAAAAAACCCTAATTCCCCAAAAACCCTAAATCCACCCCAAAACCCCTTTGGGATCTCCTCTGACCCCTGACACCCCTGGGACCCCCAGGATGCCCCTTGGAGCCCTGGGACCCCCAAACCCCCCAAACCCCTCCCCATGGGCTGGAGGTGGCCAACAAAGGTGAGACCACCCCCAAAAACCCTAAATCCACCCCAAAAAACCCCTCCAGCACCCCCAGACCTCCCAAACTCCCTGGGACCCCCTTGGAGCTCTGGGATCCCCCAGACCCCCAAACCCCCTCCCATGGGCTGGGAGGTGGCCACTAAAGGTGAGACCACCCCAAAAACCCTAAATTCACCCCAAAACTCCTTTGGGATCCCTCTGACAGCCCCAGACCCCCAAACCCCTCCCCATGGGCTGGGAGGTGGCCAATAAAGGTGAGACCCCCAAAAAAACCCTAAATCCACCCCAAAACTCCCTTTGGGGTCCCCTCCGACCCCTGACACCCCAGGACCCCCAGGATCCCCCTTGGAGCCCTAGGATCCCCCAGACCCCCAAACCCCTCCCCATGGGCTGGGAGGTGGCCAATAAAGGTGAGACCCCCCAAAAACCCTAAATCCTCCCCAAAACCCCTTTGGGACTCCTCTGACCCCCTGGACACCCTGGGACCCCAGGATCCCCTTGAGCCCTGGGACCCCAGACCCCCAAACCCCTCCCCATGGCCTGGGAGGTGGCCAATAAAGGTGAGACCCCCCCCCAAAAAACCCTAAATTCACCCAAAAAACCCTAAATCCAACCAAAAAAAATCCTCCAGCACCCCCAAACCTCTCCTGGGACCCCCCTTGGAGCTCTGGGATCCCCCCAGACCCCCCAAACCCCTCCCCATGGGCTGGGAGGTGGCCAATAAAGGTGAGACCATACAAAAAAACCCTAAATCCACCCCAAAAAACCCTAAATCCACCCCAAAAAAACCCTAAATCCACCCAAAAATAACCCTAAATCCCACCTGGGACCCCCCTTGGAGCCCTGGGATCCCCCCAGACCCCCCAAACCCCTCCCCATGGGTTGGGAGGTGGCCAATAAAGGTGAGACCATACAAAAAAACCCTAAATCCACCCCAAAACCCCCTTTGGGATCTCCTCCAACACCCCCAGACCCCCCTGGACACTCCTGGGACCCCCCAAACTCCTCCTGACCCCTCCCCATGGGCTGGGAGGTGGCCAATAAAGGTGAGACCCCCCCCAAAAAAACCCTAAATCCACCCCAAAAACGTAATCCACCCAAAACCCTTTTGGGATCCTCTGATCCTCCTGGACACCCCTGGGACCCCAGGATCCCCCTTGAGCCCTGGGACCCCCAGACCCCAAACCCCTCCCCATGGGCTGGGAGGTGGCCAATAAAGGTGAGACCCCCCAAAAAAACCCTAAATCCACCCCAAAAAACCCTAAATCCAACCCAAACCCCCTTTGGGATCCCCTCCAACACTCCCAGACCCCAAACCCTCCTGACCCTCCCCATGGGCTGAGAGGTGGCCAATAAAGGTGAGACCCCCCCAAAAAAACCCCATAAAGCCCCCCAAAACCACTTTTGGGATCCTCTCTGACACCCCCAGACCCCCCCAAACCTCCCCTGGGACCCCCCTTGGAACCCTGGGGCTGCTCCAAGGGCATTGTGGGATATTCCAGGGTATCCATGGTAGGATATTCCAGGGATATTATCCCAATGTTTTATGGGATATTCCAGGGTATCCATGGGATATTCTAGAGTATCCATGAGATATTCCAGGGTATCCATGGTGGGACATTCCAGGGATATTATCCCAATGTTTTATGGGATATTCCAGGGTATCTATGGGATATTCCAGGGTATCCATGGTGGGACATTCCAGGGATATTATCCCAATGTTTTATGGGATATTCCAGGGTATCCATGGGATATTCCAGGGTATCCATGGTGGGACATTCCAGGGTATCCATGGGATATTCCAGGGTATCCATGGGACATTCCAGGGTATCCATGGGACATTCCAGGGTATCCATGGGACATTCCAGGGTATCCATGGTGGGATATTCCAGGGTATCCATGGGACATTCCAGGATATCCATGGTGGGACATTCCAGGGTATCCATGGTGGGATATTCCAGGGTATCCATGGTGGGATATTCCAGGGTATCCATGGTGGGATATTCCAGGGTATCCATGGGACATTCCAGGGTATTATCCCAATGTTTTATGGGATATTCCAGGGTATCCCTGGGATATTCCAGGGTATCCATGGGATATTCCAGGGTATCCATGGTGGCACATTCCAGGGTATCCATGGGATATTCCAGGATATCCATGGTGGGACATTCCAGGGATATTATCCCAATGTTTTATGGGATTTTCCAGGGTATCCATGGGATATTCCAGGGTATCCATGGTGGGATATTCCAGGGTATCCATAGTGGGACATTCCAGGGATATTATCCCAATGTTTTATGGGATATTCCAGGATATCCATGGGATATTCCAGGGTATCCATGGGATATTCCAGGGTATCCATGGTGGGATATTCCAGGGTATCCCTGGGATATTCCAGGGTATCCATAGTGGGACATTCCAGGGATATTATCCCAATGTTTTATGGGATATTCCAGGATATCCATGGGATATTCCAGGGTATCCATGGGATATTCCAGGGTATCCATGGTGGGATATTCCAGGGTATCCATGGGATATTCCAGGGTATCCATGGTGGGACATTCCAGGGATATTATCCCAATGTTTTATGGGATATTCCAGGGTATCCATGGGATATTCCAGGGTATCCATGGTGGGACATTCCAGGGTATCCATGGGATATTCCAGGGTATCCATGGTGGGACATTCCAGGGATATTATCCCAATGTTTTATGGGATATTCCAGGATATCATCCCAGTGCCCGATCGGAATGGGATTCCCAGAATATCCCACAATGCCTCAGGAAAGCCCCCAAATTCCCCCCCCCCACAATTCCCCCCTCTCAGGGGTCTCCTGGGGGGGGTCCAGGTGTTTTGGGGGGGGTCCTGGAGGGGATTTTCAGGGGGGGGTCCCAGATGTCTTGGCAGGGTTTTGGGGGGGGTCCCACATTTCTGGAGGTGGTCCCAGGAGTCTGGGGTGGTACCAGAGTCTGGGGTCTCAGGGGTTCCCAGGTGTTTTAGGACCCCTGACCCCTGTTTTGCCCACCCCAAAGTTGGGGGGGATCTCCATTGTCCTTCATCCCAAGGCTCCAGCTGTCCTGGGGGAGGTTTTGGGGGTCCCACATTCCTGGGGGAGGTTTTGGGGGGTCCCAGGTTTCCAGGTGGGTTCAGGGGGGTCCCAGGTGTTTTTAGGGACCCCCTGACCCCCCATTTTTGCCCCCCACCCCGCAGTGGGGGGGATCTACACGGTGCTGCAGACCAAGGCTCCAACTGTCCTGGGGGGGGGTTTTGGGGGGTCCCACATTCCTGGGGTGGATCCCACGACTCTGGGGGTGTCTCAGGGGGGTCCCAGGTGTTTTAGGAGCCCCCTGACCCCCCATTTTCGCCCCCCACCCCGCAGTGGGGGGGATCTGCACTGTCCTTCATCCCAAGGCTCCAGCTGTCCTGGGGGAGGTTTTGGGGGGGTCCCACATTCCTGGGGGAGGTCCCATGGGTTTGGGGGTGTCTCAGGTGTTTTTAGGGACCCCCTGCCCCCCCATTTTCGCCCCCCCCACACACAGTGAGGGGGATCTACACAGTCCTTCATCCCAAGGCTCCAGCTGTCCTGGGAGGGGTTTTGGGGGGTCCCAGTTGCCTTGGCAGGGTTTTGGGGGGTCCCAGGTTTCCAGGTGGGGTCAGGGGGGTCCTGGATGTTTTCAGAACCCCCCTGACCCCCATTTTCACCCCCACCCCGCAGTGGGGGATCTGCACTGTCCTTCATCCCAAGGCTCCAGCTGTCCTGGGGGAGGTTTTGGGGGGTCCCAGGTTTCCAGGTGGGTTCAGGGGGGTCCCAGGTGATTTTAGGACCCCCTGACCCCCCATTTTCACCCCCACCCCGCAGTGGGGGGGATCTGCACTGTCCTTCATCCCAAGGCTCCAGCTGTCCTGGGGGAGGTTTTGGGGGTCCTGGGGGAGGTTTTGGGGGTCCCACATTCCTGGGGTGGATCCCACAACTCTGGGGGTGTTTCAGGGGGGTCCCGGGTGTTTTAGGGTCCCCTGACCCCCATTTGTCGCCCCCACCCCGCAGTGGGAGGATCTGCACTGTCCTTCATCCCAAGGCTCCAGCTGTCCTGGGGAGGTTTTGGGGTCCCACATTCCTGGGGAGGTCCCATGGGTTTGGGGGTGTCTCAGGGGGTCCCAGGTGTTTTAGGGGACCCCTAACCCCCATTTTCGCCCCCACCCCGCAGTGGGGGATCTACACGGTGCTACATCCCAAGGCTCCAGCTGTACTGGGGAGGTTTGGGGTCCCACATTCCTGGGGAGGTTTTGGGGTCCCAGCTGTCCTTGGGGGAGGTTTGGGGTCCCAGGTTTGAGGTGGGTTCAGGGGGTCCTGGATGTTTTAGGGACCCCTAACCCCCATTTTCACCCCCACCCCGCAGTGGGGGGGATCTACACGGTGCTGCAGACCAAGGCTCCAGCTGTCCTGGGGGTGGCTTGGGGGTCCCACATTCTTGGGGGTGGATCCCACATTCCTGGGGGAGGTCCCAGGGGTTTGGGGGTGTCTCAGGTGATTTTAGGACCCCCCTAACCCCCCATTTTCACCCCCCACCCCGCAGTGGGGGGGATCTACACGGTGCTGCAGACCAAGGCCCGGGTGACTGCGGACGAGTGGGGCGAGAGCTACGTCCTGGTGGGGCCCTACGTGGAGAGCTCGGTGCGCACCCAGGTGGAGCTGCTGGAGCCCCCCCAGCCCGCCCTGCGCCGCACCCTCGCCGCCATGAACGCCCAGGGCTGCAAGGTGGGTGCCCAGGGGGCAGGGGGCACCCAGGGGCAGAGGGGCACCCACGGGTCAGGGGGCACCAGGGTCAGGGGAGCCGAGGATGGGGTTTGGGGACCCCGGGTGGAGCTGCTGGAGCCCCCAGCCCCGCCCTGCGCCGCACCCTCGCAGCCATGAACGCCCAGGGCTGCAAGGTGGGTGCCCAGGGACCCCCCCAAATCAAGGGGGGGCACCCACGGGGTCGGGGGCACCCAGGATCCCCAGATCCAGGGTGGGCACCCAGGGTGTCAGGGGGCACCCATGGGGTCGGGGAGCCGAGGGATGGGGGTTTGGGGACCCCTGGGTGGAGCTGCTGGAGCCCCCCCAGCCCCCCATGAACGCCCAGGGGTGCAAGGTGGGTGCCCAGGGACCCCCCCAAATCCAGGGGGGGCACCCACGGGGTCAGGGGGGCACCCGCAGGGTCAGGGGGAACACCCAGGGGCACTTACAGGGTCAGGGGGGCAGCCCCAGGGTTTGGGGACCCGAGGGTTGGGGGGGCACCCACAGCACCATGAACACCCAGGGGGGCAAGGTGGGCACCCACGGGGGCAGGGGGCACCCAGAGACTCCCACGGGGCACCCACAGGGTCAGGGGGCACCTAGGGCACCCACGGGGTCAGGGACACCCAGGGCACCTACAGGGTCAGGGGCGACCCCAGGGTTGAGACCCGGGGTTGGGGCACCCATAAGGCTATGAACGCCCAGGGGGCAAGGTGGGTGCTCAGGACCCCCCCAGAACCCAGGGGTCAGGGGGCACCCACGGGGTCAGGGGGCACCCAGGGACCCCTCCAAATCCGGGGGGGCACCTACGGGGGCAGGGGAGGCAACCCCAGGGTTTGGGGACATAAGGGTTGGGGGGCACCCACAGCACCATGAACACCCAGGGGTGCAAGGGGGGGCACCCAGGGACCCCCCCAGATCCAGGGGGGGCACCCACGGGGTCAGGGGAGCCGAGGGATGGGGGTTTGGGGACCCCCGGGTGGAGGTGGTGGAGCCCCCCCAGCCCACCATGAACGCCCAGGGGTGCAAGGGGGGCACCCAGGGACCCCCCCAAATCCAGGGGGGCACCCACGGGACTCCCACGGGGCACCCACAGGGGCGGGGGGGTCACCCAGGGACCCTCATGGGGTCAGGGGGGCACCCAGGGGCACCTACAGGGTCAGGGGGGCGACCCCAGGGTTTGGGGACCCGAGGGTTGGGGGAGCACCCACAGCACCATGAACACCCAGGGGGGCAAGGGGGGCACCCAGGGACCCTCCCCAAATCAAGGGGGGGCACCCACGGGGTCAGCGGGGGCACCCAGGGACCCCCACAGGGCCGGGGGGGCACCCACAGGGGCACCCAAGGACACCTACGGGGTCAGGGAAGGACTCAGGGGATCAGGGGGGACACCCAGGGACCCCCACGGGGCACCCATGGGGTCAGGGGGGGCACCCAGGGACCCCCACAGGACACCCATGGGGTCAGAGGGGGCACCCAGGGACCCCCACGGGGTCAAGGGAATGGGGGGAATTGGGGGCTTGGGGTCCTGGGCTGGGTTTGGGAGTCTGGGGGGGCTTTGGGGGATTTGGGGGTCCTGGGTGGGTTTTGGGGGTCTGGGGGCACCCAAGAGTTTGAGGGGACTTTGGGGTCCTGGGTTGGGTTTGGGGAGTCTGGGGGGCTTTGGGGGTCACCCAGGGTTTGGGGGGTTTGGGGGTCTCGGGGTGGGTTTGGGGGTCGGGGGCACCCAAGGTTGGGGGGATTTTGGGAGTCCTGGGTGGGTTTTGGGGAGTCTGGGGGGCACCCAAGGACTGGGGAGACTTTGGGGTCCCAGGTTGGGGTCTGGGGGGCACCCAGAGGTTTAGGGGGACTTTGGGGTCCCAGGTTGGATTTGGGAGTCTGGGGGCACCTATGTTGAGGGGGACTTTGGGGTCCCAGGTTGGGTTTTGGGGGATCTGGGGGCACCCAGGGTTGAGGGAATTTAGGGGTCCTGGGTGGGTTCTGGGAGTCTGGGGGATTTGGGTGGGACTTTGGGGTCCTAGGTTGGGTTTTGGGGGTCTGGGGAACTTTAGGGAGATTTGGGGTCCCAGGTGGATTTTGGGGGTCTGGGGGGCACCCAGAGGTTTGGGGGACTTGGAGGTCCCAGGTTGGGTTCTTGAGGTCTGGGGGCTTTGGGGGACTTTGGGGTCCCAGGAGGTTTGGGGGGTCTAGGTCTCACCAAGGGTTTGAGGGACTTTGGGGTCCAGGTTGGCTTTGGGGTCGGTGGGGACCCAGGTTAGGGATTTTGGGGTCCCAGGTTGGGTTTGGGGTCTGGGGGCAGGGGACTTTGGGGTCGGGTGGGTTTGGGGTCTGGGGGTTTGGGAGTCTGGAGGCTTTGGGGTCCCAGGTTGGATTTTGGGGATCTGGGGGCACCCAAGGGTTGGGGAACTGGAGGTACCTGGGGGAATTTTGGGGTCCCAGGTGGGGTCTGGGGGTCTGGGAGGCACCCAGGGTTGGGGAATTTGGGGGTCCTGGTGGGCTCTTGGGAGTCTGGGGGGATTTGGGGGACTTTGGGGGTCCCGGGTTGGAGTTTTGGGGGTCTGGGGGGCACCTAGAGGTCTGGGAGGGACTTTGGGGTCCCAGATTGGGTTTAGGGGTCTGAGGGGCTTTGGGGGATTTTGGGGTCCCAGGTTGGATTTTGGGGCTCTGGGGGCACCCAAGGCAGCCGGAGGGCCCTGACCAGCCCTGAGGGTGGGGGCACCAGATCAGCCTCCCTCCCCGGGCACGTGGGGTCTATTTTTAGCCGCCCCTCTCCCCAGCTCCTGCTTCCCTCCCCCACGTCAGCAAAGGTCACGGCGGCCCCTCCCCCACCCTCCCAAAAATGGGGGGGGGCCCCTCAAAGGGGGGGTCCCGACCCTTCCGGGGGTCTTTTAGCCCCTTTTTGGGGGGGTTAATCCCGGTTTTGGGATCATTTTTCCCATTTCTGAGAGGATTTGTCCCATTTTTGGGGTCATTTATTCCATTTTTGGGGTCATTTATTCCATTTTTGGGGTAGTTTTTCCCTTTTCTGAGAGGATTTGTCCCATTTTTGGGGTCATTTGTGCCGTTTTTGGGGTCGTTTTTCCCATTTCTGAGAGGATTTGTCCCATTTTTGGGGTCATTTATTCCATTTTTGGGGTCATTTATTCCATTTTTGGGGTCGTTTTTCCCTTTTCTGAGAGGATTTGTCCCATTTTTGGGGTCATTTGTGCCGTTTTTGGGGTCGTTTTTCCCATTTCTGAGAGGATTTGTCCCATTTTTGGGGTCATTTATTCCATTTTTGGGGTCATTTATTCCATTTTTGGGGTAGTTTTTCCCTTTTCTGAGAGGATTTGTCCCATTTTTGGGGTCATTTGTGCCATTTTTGGGGTCGTTTTTCCCATTTCTGAGAGGATTTGTCCCATTTTTGGGGTCATTTGTGCTATTTTTTGGGGGTAATTTATTGCATATTTGTGGTTATTTATCCCATTTCTGAGAAGATTCATCCCATCTTTGGGGTAATTTATCCAATTTTTGAGACTTTTCCATTTCTGGGGTCATTTATCCCATTCCTGAGAGGATTTGTCCCATTTTTGGGGTCATTTGTGCCGTTTTTGGGGTCATTTATCCCATCCCTGAGAGGATTTGTCCCATTTTCGGGGTCATTTATTTCATTTTTGGGGTTATCTATCCCATTCCTGAGAAGATTCATCCCGGTTTTGGGGTCATTTATCCCATTTCAGAGATTTATCCCATTTTTAGGGTAATTTTTCCCATTCCTGAGAGGATTTATCCCATTTTTGGGGTCATTTCTCCCAATTTCAGGGACGTTTTGGGGCCATCAACTGAATTTTGGGGTGATTTTATCCCATTTTGGGGCAATTTTAATCTATTTTGGGGGGATTTTACTCCATTTTGGGGGGGCATTAACCCCAATTTGGGGGTTTTTAATTGGCTTTTGGGGTTTCTTTGGGATTGGGGTCTCCCCATTTGGGGTCTCCCCATTTTGGGGCTCCAACTGACCCGGGACCCTCCCTGGGGACATTTTTTGGTGCTGATTTTTTGGGGTCCCCCCATTTTTGGGGTTGCAGGTGCACTTTGGGGGTTGTCTGATGAGAATGACCCTAAATAGGGAGGATTTGGGGTCTCCCCATTTGGGATCTGCCCATTTTGGGGCTCCAACTGACTCGGGACCCTCCCTGGGGACATTTTTTGGTGCTGATTTTTTGGGTCCCCCCCATTTTTTGGTGCTGATTTTTTGGGGACCCCCCATTTTTTGGTGCTGATTTTTTGGGGACCCCCCATTTTTGGGGGTTTTCAGGTGCACTTTGGTCTCTGCCTGATCCAGGTGACCCCAAAGAGAGGATTTGGGATCACTGAGGATTTGGGATCTGCCCAATTTGGGGCTCCAACTGACCCGGGACCCTCCCTGGGGACATTTTTTGGTGCTGATTTTTTAGGAACCCCCCATTTTTTGGTGCTGATTTTTTGGGACCCCCCGGTTTTGGGGGTTGCAGGTGCACTTTGGGGGGTGGCTGATGAGAATGACCCTAAATACAGGATTTGGGATCACTGAGGGGTTGGGATCTCCCCATTTTGGGGCTCCAACTGACCCGGGACCCTCCCTGGGGACATTTTTTGGTGCTGATTTTTTGGGTCCCCCCCATTTTTTGGTGCTGATTTTTTGGGAACCCCCCATTTTTTGGGGGTTACAGGTGCACTTTGGTCTTTGTCTGATCCAGGTGACCCCAAAGAGAGGATTTGGGATCACTGAGGGGTTGGGATCTGCCCATTTTGGGGCTCCAACTGACCCAGAACCCTCCCTGGGGACATTTTTTGGTGCTGATTTTTTAGGATCCCCCCATTTTTTGGTGCTGATTTTTTGGGGTCCCCCCATTTTTGGGGGTTTTCAGGTGCACTTTGGGGGTTGTCTGATGAGAATGACCCTAAATAGAGAGGATTTGGGGTCTCCCCATTTGGGATCTGCCCATTTTGGGGCTCCAACTGACCCGGGACCCTCCCTGGGGACATTTTTTGGTGCTGATTTTTTAGGAACCCCCCATTTTTTGGTGCTGATTTTTTGGGTCCCCCCATTTTTGGGGTTTTCAGGTGCACTTTGGTCTCTGCCTGATCCAGGTGACCCCAAAGAGGGGATTTGGGATCACTGAGGATTTGGGATCTGCCCAATTTGGGGCTCCAACTGACCCAGAACCCTCTCCAGGGACATTTTTTGGGGACCCCCCATTTTTTGGTGCTGATTTTTTGGGACCCCCTCATTTTTGGGGGGTTTCAGGTGCACTTTGGTCTGTACCTGATCCAGGTGACCCCAAAGAGGGGATTTGGGGTTTCTTTGGATTTGGGGTCTCCCCATTTTGGGGCTCCAACTGACCCGGAACCCTCCCAAGGGACATTTTTTGGTGCTGATTTTTTGGGTCCCCCTCATTTTTTGGTGCTGATTTTTTGGGGTCCCCCTCATTTTTGGGGGTTTCCAGGTGCACTTTGGGCGGTGGCTGATCGAGGGCAGCCCGGCCGTGGTGCTGCTGGACGTGGGGGCCACGGCCTGGAGTTTGGAGCGCTGGAAGGGGGAGCTGTGGGAGAGCTGCGCCATCGGCGTGCCCTGGTACGACCGCGAGGCCAACGACGCCGTCCTCTTCGGCTTCCTCGTCGCCTGGTTCCTCGGGGAGGTGGGTCTGGAGGGGTCTGGGGGGGTTTTGGGGGTCTCTGAGTGGATTTGGGGGAGAATTGGGAGGATTTGGGGGATTTAGCTGGGTTGGGGAGGGTTTGGGGTGTCCTAGTACGACCAGCGAGGCCAATGACGCCGTCCTTGGGCTTCCTGTCGCCTGGTTCCTCGGGAGGTGGGTCTGGAGGTCCCTGGGGGTTTTGAGGGGTTTGGGGTCCTGAGGGGGTTTGGGGGATTTGGGTGGGGTTTGGGGGCTCCATGAGGGGTTTGGGGGTATCCCTGAGTGCGACCGCGAGGCCAACGACGCCGTCCTCTTCGGCTTCCTCGTCGCCTGGTTCCTCGGGAGGTGGCTCTGGGGTCCCTGGGGTTCCTGAGAGGGTCTTGAGGGTCTCTGAGGGATTTGGGAGGGATTTGGTTGGGTTTGGGAGGGTTTGGGGAGGGTTTGGGGTGTCCCTGGTACGACCGCGAGGCCAACGACGCCGTCCTCTTGGGCTTCCTCGTCACCTGGTTCCTCGGGAGGTGGCTCTGGGGGTCTGGGGGCTTCGAGGGGGTTTGGGGGTCCCTGAGTGGATTTGGGGGATTTGATATGGTTTGGGGTTCCCTGGTGGGGTTTGGGGGCTCCATGAGGGGTTTGGGGGTCCCTGGTACGACCGCGAGGCCAACGACGCCGTCCTCTTGGGCTTCCTCGTCGCCTGGTTCCTTGGGGAGGTGGCTCTGGGGGTCCCTGGGGGGTCCTGAGTGGATTTGGGGGGGATTTGGGGAGATTTGGGGGGAATTTGGGAGGGTTTGGGCAGGGTTTGGGGTGTCCCTGGTACAACCGTGAGGCCAACGGCGCCGTCCTCTTCGGCTTCCTCGTCGCCTGGTTCCTCAGGGAGGTGGCTCTGGGGGGGCTTGAGGGGATTTGGGGGTCCTGAGTGGATCTGGGGGGATTGGGGAGGATTTGGGGGATTTGGTTGGGTTTGGGGGCTCCATGAGGGGGTTTGAGGGGGTCCCTGGTACGACCGCGAGGCCAACGATGCCGTCCTCTTCGGCTTCCTCATCACCTGGTTCCTGGGGGAGGTGGCTCTGGGGGAGTTTGGGGGGATTTGGGAGGATTTGGGAGGGTTTGGGGAGGGTTTGGGGGGTCCTGAGTGGATTTGGGGGGGATTTGGTTGGGTTTGGGGGGGATTTGGTTTGGTTTGGGGTGTCCCTGGTACGACCACGAGGCCAACGACGCCGTCCTCTTCGGCTTCCTCGTCGCCTGGTTCCTCGGGGAGGTGGCTCTGGGGGTCCCTGGGGGGTCCTGAGTGGATCTGGGGGGGAATTGGGAGGATTTGGGGGGGATTTGGTTGGGTTTGAGGGGGTCCCTGGTACGACCGCGAGGCCAACGACGCCGTCCTCTTCGGCTTCCTCGTCGCCTGGTTCCTCGGGGAGGTGGCTCTGGGGCGGTTTGAGGGGATTTGGGGGGTCGCTGAGAGGGTTTTGGGGTTCCTTGGGTGTGTTTGGGGGGGTCCTCACCCAGGTGAGGTGCCCTGTGGGTGACAGTGTCATTTTGGGGTGTTTTTTGGGGTGTTTTGGTGCCAGTTTGCGGCGCAGAGCGAGGAGAAGCCGCTCATCATGGGGAGGGCTCTGGGTGGGCACTCAGGTGTGTGTGTGGGCACTCAGGTGTGTGTGTGGGCACTCAGGTGTGTTTGCAGGTGCCAGGTGTGTGTGTAGGTGCCAGGTGAGGTGACAGTGTCGTTTTTGGGGTGTTTTTGTGTGTTTTTGGTGCCAGTTTGGGACCCAGAGCGAGGAGAAGCCGTTCATCGTGGGGAGGGCTCTGGGTGGGCACAGCTCATACCCAGGTGTGTGTGGGCACTCAGGTGTCACCCCTGGGTGCCAGGTGAGGTAACACTGTCATTTTTGGGGTGTTTTTGTGTGTTTTTGGTGCCAGTTTGTGGCGCAGAGCGAGGAGAAGCCGTTCATCGTGGGGAGGGCTCTGGGTGGGCACTCAGGTGTGTTTGTAGGTACCAGGTGTGTTTGTTGGTACCCAGGTGTGTGTGTGGGCATTCAGGTGTGTGTGTGGGCACTCAGGTGTGTGTGGGCACTCAGGTGTCCCCCTGGGTGCCAGGTGAGGTGACAGTGTCACTTTTTGGGGTGTTTTTGTGTGTTTTTGGTGCCAGTTTGCGGCCCAGAGCGAGGAGAAGCCGTTCATTGTGGGGAGGGCTCTGGGTGGGCACAGCTCATACCCAGGTGTGCAGGTGTCCCCCCTGGGCACCAGGTGAGGTGACAGCGGTGTTTTTGGGTGTTTTTTGTGTGTTTTTGGTGCCAGTTTGCGGCCCAGAGTGAGGAGAAGCCGTTCATCATGGGGAGGGCTCTGGGTGGGCACTCAGGTGTGTTTGTAGGTACCAGGTGTGTTTGTAGATGCCAGGTGTGTTTGTAGATGCTAGGTGTGTTTGCAGGTGCCAGGTGAGGTGACAGTGGTGTTTTTTGTGTGTTTTTGGTGCCAGTTTGCAGCGCAGAGCGAGGAGAAGCCGTTCATCGTGGGGAGGGCTCTGGGTGGGCACAGCTCATACCCAGGTGTGTGTGTGGGCACTCAGGTGTCCCCCCTGGGCGCCAGGTGAGGTGACAGAGGTGTTTTTTGGGGTGTTTTTGTGTGTTTTTGGTGCCAGTTTGCAGCCCAGAGCGAGGAGAAGCCGTTCATCATGGGGAGGGCTCTGGGTGGGCACCAGGTGTTTGTGTGGGCACTCAGGTGTGTTTGTAGGTGCCAGGTGAGATGACACTGTAATTTTTGGGTATATTTTGTGTGTTTTTGGTGCCAGTTTGCAGCGCAGAGCGAGGAGAAGCCGTTCATCGTGGGGAGGGCTCTAGGTGGGCACTCAGGTGTGTCTGTGGGCACCCAGGTGTGTGTGTGGGCACTCAGGTGTGTTTGCAGGTGCCAGGTGAGGTGACACTGTCATTTTTGGGTATATTTTGTGTGTTTTTGGTGCCAGTTTGCAGCCCAGAGCGAGGAGAAGCCGTTCATCGTGGGGAGGGCTCTGGGTGGGCACTCAGGTGTGTTTGTAGATGCCAGGTGTATTTGTAGGCACTCAGGTGTCACCCCTGGGTGCCAGGTGAGGTGACAGTGTCATTTTTGGGTGTTTTTTGGGTGTTTTTGGTGCCAGTTTGTGGCGCAGAGCGAGGAGAAGCCGTTCATCGTGGGGAGGGCTCTGGGTGGGCACTCAGGTGTGTTTGTAGATGCCAGGTGTGTTTGCAGGTGCCAGGTGAGGTGACAGTGTCATTTTTGGGTATATTTTGTGTGTTTTTGGTGCCAGTTTGCGGCGCAGAGCGAGGAGAAGCCGTTCATCGTGGGGAGGGCTCTGGGTGGGCACTCAGGTGTGTTTGTAGATGCCAGGTGAGGTAACACTGTCATTTTTGGGGTGTTTTTGTGTGTTTTTGGTGCCAGTTTGCAGCGCAGAGCGAGGAGAAGCCGTTCATCGTGGGGCACTTCCACGAGTGGCTGGCGGGGCTGGGGCTGGTTCTGAGCCGCGCCCGCCGCCTGCCCGTAGCCACAATCTTCACCACCCACGCCACCCTGCTGGGCAGGTACCTGTGTGCTGGGAGCGTGGACTTCTACAACAACCTGCACAGTGTGAGTACCTGGGCACACCTGGGCACACCTGGGCACACCTGGGCACACCTGGGGGCATTGGGGACACAGGGACACCCTGCTGGGCAGGTACCTGTGCGCTGGGAGTGTGGACTTCTACAACAACCTGCACAGTGTGAGTACCTGGGCACACCTGGGGGGGCAGGGACACACCTGGACACACCTGGGGGCATTGGGGACAGGGGCACACCCAGCTGGGCAGGTACCTGTGCGCTGGGAGCGTGGACTTCTACAACAACCTGCACAGTGTGAGTGACAGGGACACACCTGGGGGGACAGGAACACACCTGGGCACACCTGGGCACACCTGGGGCTTGGGAATACACCTGGGCACACCTGACACCTGGGCACACCTGGGCACACCTGGGCACACCTGGGGCACTGGGGACAGGGGACACCCAGCTGGGCAGGTACCTGTGTGCTGGGAGCGTGGACTTCTACAACAACCTGCACAGTGTGAGTACCTGGGCACACCTGGGCACACCTGGGCACACCTGGGGGCACTGGGGACACGGGGACACCCAGCTGGGCAGGTACCTGTGTGCTGGGAGCGTGGACTTCTACAACAACCTGCACAGTGTGAGTGCCTGGGCACACCTGGGGGGACACACCTGGGCACACCTGGGCACACCTGGGGGGACACACCTGGGCACACCTGGGCACACCTGGGGGCATTGGGGGCACTGAGACATGGGGACACCCTGCTGGGCAGGTACCTGTGCGCTGGGAGCGTGGACTTCTACAACAACCTGCACAGTGTGAGTGACCGGGGACACACCTGGGGACACCTGGGCACACCTGGGGGACACCTGGGGGCACTGGGGACACGGGGGACACCCAGCTGGGCAGGTACCTGTGTGCTGGGAGCGTGGACTTCTACAACAACCTGCACAGTGTGAGTGACGGGGACACACCTGGGCACACCTGGGGACACCTGGGCACACCTGGGGGGACACCTGGGGGGACACCTGGGCACACCTGGGCACACCTGGGCACACCTGGGACACGGGGACACCCAGCTGGGCAGGTACCTGTGTGCTGGGAGCGTGGACTTCTACAACAACCTGCACAGTGTGAGTACCTGGGCACACCTGGGGGGACAGGAACACACCTGGACACACCTGGGGGGACAGGGAGACACCTGGGGGCACTGGGGACAGGGGGACACTCAGCTGGGCAGGTACCTGTGTGCCGGGAGCGTGGACTTCTACAACAACCTGCACAGTGTGAGTACCTGGGCACACCTGGGCACACCTGGGCACACCTGGGGACATTGGGGACACGGGGACACCCAGCTGGGCAGGTACCTGTGTGCCGGGAGCGTGGACTTCTACAACAACCTGCACAGTGTGAGTACCTGGGGGGGACACCTGGGGGGCTTGGGAATGCACCTGGGCACACCTGGGCACACCTGGGGGCATTGGGGACACACCTGGGCACACCTGGGGGCACCTGGGCACACCTGGGGGCATTGGGGACACGGGGACACCCAGCTGGGCAGGTACCTGTGTGCTGGGAGCGTGGACTTCTACAACAACCTGCACAGTGTGAGTGCCTGGGCACACCTGGGGGGACACCTGGGGGGACAGGGACACACCTGGGCACACCTGGGGGACAGGGACACACCTGGGCACACCTGGGGGGAACACCTGGGCACACCTGGGCACACCTGGGGGCACTGGGGACAGGGGGACACCCAGCTGGGCAGGTACCTGTGTGCTGGGAGCGTGGACTTCTACAACAACCTGCACAGTGTGAGTACCTGGGCACACCTGGGGGGACACCTGGGGGGACAGGGACACACCTGGGCACACCTGGGGGCACTGGGGACATGGGGGACACCCAGCTGGGCAGGTACCTGTGTGCCGGGAGCGTGGACTTCTACAACAACCTGCACAGTGTGAGTGCCTGGGGGGCTTGGGAATACACCTGGGCACACCTGGGCACACCTGGGCACACCTGGGGGCACTGGGGACATGGGGACACCCAGCTGGGCAGGTACCTGTGTGCTGGGAGCGTGGACTTCTACAACAACCTGCACAGTGTGAGTACCTGGGCACACCTGGGGGGGCAGGGACACACCTGGACACACCTGGGGGCATTGGGGACAGGGGCACACCCAGCTGGGCAGGTACCTGTGCGCTGGGAGCGTGGACTTCTACAACAACCTGCACAGCGTGAGTGCCTGGGACACACCTGGGGGGACAGGGACACACCTGGGCACACCTGGGCACACCTGGGGGCTTGGGAATACACCTGGGCACACCTGGGCACACCTGGGCACACCTGGGGGCACCTGGGCACACCTGGGGGCACTGGGGACACGGGGACACCCAGCTGGGCAGGTACCTGTGTGCTGGGAGCGTGGACTTCTACAACAACCTGCACAGTGTGAGTACCTGGGCACACCTGGGCACACCTGGGCACACCTGTGGGCACTGGGGACACGGGGACACCCAGCTGGGCAGGTACCTGTGTGCTGGGAGCGTGGACTTCTACAACAACCTGCACAGTGTGAGTGCCTGGGCACACCTGGGGGGACACACCTGGGCACACCTGGGCACACCTGGGGGGACACACCTGGGCACACCTGGGCACACCTGGGGGCATTGGGGGCACTGGGGACATGGGGACACCCTGCTGGGCAGGTACCTGTGCGCTGGGAGCGTCGACTTCTACAACAACCTGCACAGTGTGAGTGACGGGGACACACCTGGGGACACCTGGGCACACCTGGGGGGACACCTGGGGGCATTGGGGACACGGGGACACCCAGCTGGGCAGGTACCTGTGTGCTGGGAGCGTGGACTTCTACAACAACCTGCACAGTGTGAGTGACGGGGACACACCTGGGCACACCTGGGGACACCTGGGCACACCTGGGGGGACACCTGGGGGGACACCTGGGCACACCTGGGCACACCTGGGCACACCTGGGACACGGGGACACCCAGCTGGGCACGTACCTGTGTGCTGGGAGCGTGGACTTCTACAACAACCTGCACAGTGTGAGTACCTGGGCACACCTGGGGGGACAGGAACACACCTGGACACACCTGGGGGGACAGGGAGACACCTGGGGCACTGGGACAGGGGACAGCTGGGCAGGTACCTGTGTGCCGGGAGCGTGGACTTCTACAACAACCTGCACAGTGTGAGTACCTGGGGGGGACACCTGGGGGGCTTGGGAATGCACCTGGGCACACCTGGGCACACCTGGGGGCATTGGGGACACACCTGGGCACACCTGGGGGCACCTGGGCACACCTGGGGGCATTGGGGACAGGGGGACACCCAGCTGGGCAGGTACCTGTGTGCTGGGAGCGTGGACTTCTACAACAACCTGCACAGTGTGAGTACCGGCACACCTGGGCACACCTGGGGGACAGGGACACCTGGGCACCTGGGGACAGGGACACACCTGGGCACACCTGGGCACACCTGGGGGCATTGGGGACACCTGGGCACACCTGGGCACACCTGGGGCACTGGGGACAGGGGACACCCAACTGGGCAGGTACCTGTGTGCTGGGAGCGTGGACTTCTACAACAACCTGCACAGTGTGAGTACCTGGGCACACCTGGGGGGACACCTGGGGGGACAGGGACACACCTGGGCACACCTGGGGGCATTGGGGACAGGGGGACACCCAGCTGGGCAGGTACCTGTGCGCTGGGAGCGTGGACTTCTACAACAACCTGCACAGTGTGAGTGCCTGGGGGCTTGGGAATACACCTGGGCACACCTGGGCACACCTGGGGGCACTGGGGACAGGGGGACACCCAGCTGGGCAGGTACCTGTGTGCTGGGAGCGTGGACTTCTACAACAACCTGCACAGTGTGAGTGACAGGGACACACCTGGGGACACCTGGGCACACCTGGGCACACCTGGGGGGACACCTGGGGGGACACCTGGGCACACCTGGGTACACCTGGGGGCAATGGGGGCACACCTGGGCACACCTGGGGGCACTGGGGACAGGGGCACACCCTGCTGGGCAGGTACCTGTGTGCCGGGAGCGTGGACTTCTACAACAACCTGCACAGTGTGAGTGCCTGGGGGGCTTGGGAATACACCTGGGCACACCTGGGGGGACAGGGACACACCTGGGCACACCTGGGGGCATTGGGGACACACCTGGGCACACCTGGGGGCATTGGGGACAGGGGGACACCCAGCTGGGCAGGTACCTGTGTGCTGGGAGCGTGGACTTCTACAACAACCTGCACAGTGTGAGTGACAGGGGACACCTGGGGACACACCTGGGGGCACTGGGGACACACCTGGGCACACCTGGGCACACCTGGGGGCACTGGGGACACGGGGACATCCAGCTGGGCAGGTACCTGTGTGCTGGGAGCGTGGACTTCTACAACAACCTGCACAGTGTGAGTGACAGGGACACACCTGGGGGCATTGGGGGCACACCTGGGCACACCTGGGCACACCTGGGCACACCTGGGGGCACTGGGGACACGGGGACACCCAGCTGGGCAGGTACCTGTGTGCTGGGAGCGTGGACTTCTACAACAACCTGCACAGTGTGAGTGACGGGGACACACCTGGGGGGACAGGGACACACCTGGGCACACCTGGGCACACCTGGGCACACCTGGGCACACCTGGGGGCACTGGGGACACGGGGACACCCAGCTGGGCAGGTACCTGTGTGCTGGGAGCGTGGACTTCTACAACAACCTGCACAGTGTGAGTGACAGGGACACACCTGGGGGGACAGGGACACACCTGGGCACACCTGGGCACACCTGGGGGCACTGGGGACAGGGGGACACCCTGCTGGGCAGGTACCTGTGTGCTGGGAGTGTGGACTTCTACAACAACCTGCACAGTGTGAGTACCTGGGGGGCTTGGGAATACACCTGGGCACACCTGGGCACACCTGGGCACACCTGGGGGCATTGGGGACACACCTGGGCACACCTGGGCACACCTAGGGGCACTGGGGACAGGGGGACACC